CCCCCCCCCCCCTCCTTTCCCACCCTCTAATATGCTATTTCTATGGTTTTTGTTAAAAACCATTAGTGGATAGTTTGAGTAGAGAACTATAGTTTGAGTAGTTTGAGATAGTGAAGGCTTCCATTTTATAGACGAGTCACCATGCATCACTTATTATTTAAAAACATTCATGGAAATCGTGTTTTGTGTCGATCCAAATGCTATATGCGATTTCTATCGCTTTTGTTAAAACCCATTGGCCATTAATCATTATTAGCAGATTCGTTATTGACAAAAACTATACGTAGTCATATATTTTAGTTACATTGTACTCTATCTATTCATCTATTTTTCTCTTTTACGTTTTGTGGCCTTTATCACAAATATTTAAAGTGATAAAATACTTCAAACTGATCGCTGTTATGAATTTGGTTTATATTATTGTGTTAGTTTAAGTTTTGAAGGGGGTCCAAATCCGCCAACGGGGGTCCGTATTTACTGGTAAATTTGGACCCCTGGGGGTCCATATCCACCGGTAGATTTGGACCCGGGGGTTCAAATCAACTTGGACACCTGGTGTCCCCAAGTGCCCCCCCCAAAAAAAAACTGTACACTGTTTCATTTAATATAGCAGAAAAACTAGAACAGTTATCATGATCAGTATCATGATCAAATAATGTTTTAAATCAAACAAGCACTTTTGACAATGCTAAAAATATGCATAAATTGGCCTATTGGCTATTAATTAAGTCGTAGCTGCATTGATAAGCTTGTTGTCGCTGTTATTGTTAACGCATGATATACGGCATATTTGTTTCAAATATCAATATTTATTTCATCAACTGAAAAAGCTTGTCCTAAGGGCTAAGGTACATTGCCTCACTTTGGTGACATGCAGAGCTTTTCCTGCCAATTCGATAGTTTGTTAATGTGAAGCACTGAAGGCCTCACAACATTGTCTTATGTTTCATAGGTGCTTGTCATTTGTTTGTGCTTTAATTCCCAAAGACAAAGTTAAGAAATATGAACGAAATTGCAAAATTGAAAATTCAATGGGTAATAATTTGAAATTTTATTTGGCTTCAATGAAATACCCAATAATCATGAGCAAATGCCAATCACAATTCACATGTACACCTTCCAGCCTATATCTATTCTGTGCTTCCAGGTTGCCAGTCACAGATCACATGATCAAGGCATAGATAGTTGCTATGGCAATTGATAGCTGAATTAATGCTAACTTTTGATTTGGGTACATCTGCACTTGTGTTTATTTCAAAACTTTGCAAAATGGCACTTCTATTGATTGTGAAAAAATATTTCCATGTTTATACAAAAGCTGTTCACAGGTTCAGAGACTCTAAATTTCAGAATTTTCTTGGGGAGCATGCACCTATACCCCAACTCCACTAGGGGCATAAATTGTACACAAAACAATGCCTATAGTATGGATGTTACAAACACTTGCTACAACAGAATGTGACTGGCAACCTGTCACTTGTGATCTGCAACCTGTGTTTTAGACCTGCCCAAGGCTGTGCACAGTGGGGGGGGGGGGGGAAATTGCCCCACTAGAGAAAACTATATTTACAATTTTTAGAATGTCATTAATTATTCTTTAGACCTTACTGCCCCCTTGGTGGAAAAATCCTGCATACAGTCCTGGACCCGTCATATTAAAACTGACTGGCACAGACCATCCTTAGATTCCCTTTGATGCACACAATGGTCTGGACCACCAATTCCACTGAGTGCCAGCACTCTCTCGACTAGTAAAATCATCTGGCATGAGACAGAGTGAAATAGCAAGTGGGGTGCATTAGGGCACAATGGAATTTAATAAGACATGAACTTCAGAACTTGTGACATTTAGAGCCTGTTTACACTGTACTGGATTCGCTGGTCACGGCATCTTCGTTTGCCGCCCAGGAGCAACGTTTAACAACAAAGGTTTACTCTTTTGATAATTTCCGTATGTTTGATGTTTCTGCTTGTTACTATACCATTATAAATGTTTAGTCTACTCTCATTGATTGTTAAAACTGATGTTGTGACCAGCGAATCCAGTACAGTGTAAACGGGGCCTGATCGAGATTCGAGTTTGTGTTATTGATTCTTCATCTTCATGTTTGGCAGTAAATCTATTGGACCACAGAATTGAAATCTTCATTCATGCTTAAAATACAGGGCCCGATTTACCGGGTTGTGAAAATTTTGTTTTTCCTATACACTCGATTTGACTATTAAATATTTGACTGTGAAGAGTTTAAGTCGGATGGTAGCCGTTTAGCCGTATAGGTATTGATGGTATCAATATTGTTTAGTAATCGAAATATTGGCCCAGGTATAAATTTCGATACAACCTCTTAGTCTATAAACTGTGATACAACTCGAGCTAGCCTGCGAACAGGCTCTCAAGCTGAATTACTATTTTCCATCCAGCAAACTGACTCAGTGTCATCATGTGGTGTCATTTTCATTCGGAAGATGTGTTAAATGGCTGTATAAACAAACCCTACCCCTACTCTAACCCCTAATCGTAACCTCAACCCTAACTCTAACCCTAACCGAATTAATTAATAAAAAAATCCAAAAAGAAACGACTTTACAAAATCGATAGGGCGGTTTGCTGGATGGAAAAAAGTGCTAACCAAGTAAGAGAGCCTTTAGAGGTGTGCAAATCCGATCGGATTTCGGAACAAAAATATTCATTTCGGATTGGATTGATAAAGTTGTTTCGTAGTCGGATCGGAGACTTCGATATTCGAAAAAAAATGAATTAATTATATATAAGAATTATTATTTGGTTAAATATATCCACTTGAATGAGAAATTTATTTTAGTAAAGGACTCTTCGGATCGGATTTCTTTATCAAAACTTGGACGGATTAGACAATTTCGGATCGGATTTTAAACATTAGCCAATTGTCGGATTATAAACGTCCAATCCGTATATTGTAATAAATAAATAAATAAATAAATATATATATATATATATATATATATATATATATATATATATATATATATATATATATATATATATATATATATATATATATATATATATATATATATATATATATATATATTATATATCATATATTATATATCATATATTATATATCATTAATAATTCATGAGGAAAACACAAAGAGAAATCATATTAAGCGTGGCGTGTCTTTATATGTGATAAAACACGCTTCAAATTTCAACTTGTATTTTCTCAGCTAATACAAAGTTATTTTGGAAAATTATTTCGCCAATGCCGTCATCTAACTGAGACGTTTTTGAAGCTGTTTAATAAACTCGTAGTTCGTGTTTTATCACATATAAAACACTCCGCTACGCGTCGTGTTTTATATGTGATAAAACACTCCTACTCGTTTATTAAACAGTACATATACATGGGGTGCGCGGAAATACCAGATTTATTTCGAGTGTCTCGGACCAAGTCAGCACAATTTAAAGTATGAAAATGACAGCAAGCGAATGTCAAGTAATAGCCCCGCCTAATAGTATTTTATTAATTCAATGGCAGTGTTAGGGCAGTTATATACAGAATTATTTACAAGTTTCACGCGAAAGACGGCGAATAGCTTCCTATCATACATATACGTATTGAATGCTGATTAAAAAATTCCATTGCTAAAATTTCGAACGGGTGAAAACATATTCATTTCACAGATCTAAGGCTGGTTACTTTAATTTAGAGTATTATAATTATTTGCGGTAGTAATCATATGTTTATTATAAAATGCTCCGCTGATCGTCGTCCGCCTTTTATCCGTCACACCCCCAGAAAAGTGTTAGATATTCAGTTTATAGTACGTCTTATTTTACAAATATAGCAGTTCAAAATCTAAACAAATGATTTGTCAACCTCGTTCCCAGGGTGATTTATTCGTACGAGATGTTAGCCTGAAAACAGACCTACGTTTCGCCCAGTGGTTTCACCCTTTCCGTCAACCCGCGAATTTTAGGGCGGGCGAAACGTAGGTCTGTTTTCAGGCTAACGAGATGTCATTTTGAAATCCTCCAAATGCTCCAATTCGGACTGGACTGGATTTCTAGTCCTCGCATTTTGACCCAGTCCTCGGAAAACATACCGAAAATTATAAAAGAAAACTAATTATGGAAAAAAATATTGGTGGGGCTAAAGCCAGCCTGCTCCATGGTCCCTGCAATACAGTAAAGACTATATGTTTCAGACACGTTGGCGACGACAATATTCAAACCAAACTGAGCAGTCATCTGCGTCTTAAATTTGATAGTTCAAATTAAAACTGCCATGTTTGGGAAGTACTGAAACTATATTCGATGACGGAGGATATGCCCCTGATAGCGTTATAATACTGACAAGCTAGTGCCAGAGAGCTCTTGCATAATTTCGTAAAGTTTCCAATGGTACTGTTCAGGATAAATTGCCACATGCAACTATATACGTCTTCAGGAAAACACAGCCATAATCTCTTAATTCTTCCAATGGTAAGTATTTCTATACTCTTATTATGATATTCAATTTACACTATTAGTCACTTTCATCCTCGTCACTTTCAGCAATAACTTTTTTCCGTTTCTTCTTCACGACTGGTTCTTCAAAGCTGTGCTTTCGTTGTCTTGTTGAGTCATTTTCAGACATGCCTGCTCCTTTGTCTGCGGAATTCTCAGCACTATCGTCATCACTTTCCAGTCCTCCAGAAATACCTTCTTCCTCGCTCTCTTGATCAGAGTACACATCACCAAGACGACCTATGCAAAGATTTGAAAGGTGATTACAAGCCTACGCGCAAGTGAATAAAGATGCTTGTAGTCGCAAGAGTAAAATAAACATAAAAATTATGAAATCAGTTGAAAAGTTTGTGCGAAATTCAGCATTTTCTCAGCATTTTAACAGAAGAAGTCATGCAGTGGCCATAACGCTCAATTCCGACCAACCGGAATACGGGAAATTCAATAGACACTCCTATATAGTGCTTACGGGCAAAACAAAAGTGATATTATACAATTGGCAGTTTAAAATTTAAGGAGCCAACACACGAGTCCCAACCATGCAGTGATAATTTAGTCCCAGTCAAGTTACACAGTATGATAGTTAGCAATAGCGAAAAAGTTTACTGAATATATATGCGCGCCTGAATACAGAACTGAATTTGAAAATATTTAAGGAGTAGAAATGGTCTCCTTCAATCTCGATAGGACATTTGGGTACGCACTGTAAGGCAGTGTTAATTAAAATTTATCACGACAAATGCTATCACATGCAGCACATTCTTACTGTTTATCACTACACACTTTCACTTTCTTACTGCACAAATTGGTTATCACTGCATACAAAAAATTATACTGGCATGAATTAGTCATTGCCGTACCAAACCTTTGTAAGTATATATAGGTAATCATGCGATGGCGAGTACAAATAGGGATTAATAGTACGAGTGATATTTGGAAATTTTGCCAAAATTGAACGAGTCGCCAGGTTACTTGTTTATCATTAGCATGACAAAATTGGAAATTCTCAATGTCAACATCATATTCTCTCGCCAAAGCCCAGTCCTGCCAAACTTGCAATCAAAATTTTGTGCTTTTGTGCGTATTTTCATTTAGTTTGTTTTGGCCCTTTGTTTGTTTTGGCAAAATCATTAATTGTACTGCAGTACAATTAATGAAATCATTCATGTACTCCTCTCAACCAATCAGCATCCAGTAATTTTGTCATGCTAATAATAAACGCTCTAATCAACGACCAAAAGAATGAAATAGAACAAATCATACACGTACTTTTGGCTAACCCTTTCTTATAATGTTTTTTCATTTCCAACAGACTTTGTTCCAGCCCTTCTTCATCATCGTCATAACGATCTGGCTCTAAATAACTAGCGGTTAAACCACGTGCATTGCTTCTTTCACGCATACGCCGTTGTTGATTTTCCCTTCGTAACTGAGTTCGCAATTTTTCTTCCTCTTTCTGAAATAGACCAGAATAAGTTACAAGTTGTTTCAGATCCATACGTATGTATCTCACACATATTAAAAGCATACAGGAAAAGTTGCGAAAAATGCAACAGTAGGTCCCCCGCAGGAATCGAACCTGTGGCCCTGCGATTCCAGCAGGGATGGATCCAGCATGATCTGGTAGGGGGTGCTCTGCCGCCGAGTTGTGTTGGTCATGTGTGCCGCCGGCCCATCAACTTGCTTCACTACTGCCAAGTCTTTGGCGACTACTGTTTTTGAATTGTAATTGTTGTTCACAGTTCGCTTATCATCATGTTATTACTCAAATTACTGTATCTCATTTTGTCTTTTAATAATTTTTGCTTTATAATGAAAAA